GCTCAGTGTCATCGGCAAACCTGCTAAGGGTGCCGTCAATCCCATCATCCATGTTCCTGACAAAGATGTTATTGTTTGACGAAGAAGAGCTTGCTTCAGTTAAAGCCAACTCCTGCAGCAACCACTGTACACCACTCATGTCTCAAACTCATCTGCCTGACCTTTCAACTGACTAAATAAAATGTCAGCATCTTTTCACAGACAGGAAATCTCTGAACTGATACACATTACAGAATCACATTCCTATCGCCCAGCTCTACAACCTCTGCAGAAGAGAGAAATACCTTTGATAAATCCACAGGAACATCAAGGTAATGATCCAAGAAGTTAGAGTTCTGTTCTGGGTCCAACAGCTCTAGAAGGGCTGAGGATGGATCTCCTTGATACCCTCTTCCTATTTTATCCACCTATGGGAGAAAAATTTTAAATTCTTTATGAAGTTTTTTACCACAATATATTCTTACGCAAAGATTTAAAGGCTCCATTTGAACACCTTCACGTGTTTTGTTTATCAACAGCCGCTACCATTCTATCAGTTTTCTGTGCATTCACCCATCCCATCCCCACTATCCCACTGCATGAGCACATGACACCTGACAAGACACAGGGCTTCTGCAGTGTTGCACTACAAAGTCTCAGAAAGTGTGCATATGATCCAAAGCAAGTGAGTTACTGTAGATTAGTGGGCTACTACTCGTTAAGCTAAGCTACAGTCACAGGCCAGAATACTTATTCTGTAGTAGGAAGACTACAAGGTGCTAGCTTATGGCATTTCCCTAATACCTAAGCTAGACACTCTCCTTACTCTGCCCAAGGTGCAAAGTGCCTGTGCACAGTCACTCATCACAGCCCAGCTAGTGACCTTTACTGCTTTCCCAGAATCACAGGCTGACTGAGGCTGTTAAGGACTTGTTGAGGTCATCTTGTCCCACCCCACTGCTCAAGCAGGGCCACCCAGAGCCAGCTACCCAGAGCCAGCTGCCCAGGCCCATGCCCAAGGTTGTTGAGTCTTTCAGCGTTGTTCACGTCCTCAGAAGGAAAGGTCACAACAGGGCCACTCTCCACTGCTTTTTCTCTCCCAAGAATAGTGTTAACTAGATGGAAATAATGCAATTCGTGGCTACGGCCAACACAAGGCTCTTCACCAACACCACTTAAGTAGAAGTGCCATGACCTACAGATTTTATTACCTTTCAAATCAAGATACTCATTGGTTACATTTCACTGCAATTAATCACCCAGTTTCTTGGTCCCCCATACCATTCCCAAGACATCTTCTGCTGGTCTTTCCCAGGCATGGCACACAAGGAGGCTAGAGAGAGCGTTAAGCTTATTCTGCTATTATATCCTGTCCTTCTTTGCTTTTCCACCAAGCAGTAGCCTGGTAGCCCCATCTCATTCATTCTCAAATCAGACCACAAATTGAATGTAAGCATCTTATTCCCTGTAGTCTTGCTTTAGCCCTGCTAAGAGAGTGACTCTTGCTAATATTCACATGGGCAACAGTGGTTTTGTGCACAATGATGTACCCACACCTAGTTAGGGAACGAGAGTTTCTGAAGCCTCTGGATATCCTGCCTGCTTCATTAGGATTCTCACAATCCAAACAGCTGCAGTTTAATGATAAGGGCACAACTGAAATATTAAAGTCTGTTCTAGGAAAAGAAAACAACGGGTCTAAAGTATCCCTGTCACCCAAAGAACTTGAGAGCCCAGCCACATTTAAATAAACCCTGGGATTTTTAGAAGAGTTACTGCTCCACCCTTCCTATTGGGGTCAAGAATCAATACATATTTTTAAGAGCAAAAACTAGATGAAAGACCAAATACATCACCTCATCAATCAGTATAAGTGGATTCTCTGTCTTGGTCTTCTTCAGACACTGGATGATTTTTCCTGGCATTGCTCCAACATATGTCCTCCTGTTTTACCAGAGACTACATTTAAGGAACCATTGTCAAGGACAGCACACATCACACAACACAGCATGCAGCTGATGGAACAGGTATATTCTGCTGGGAAGCAAGTCTGTATTTCTTCTACACCTACCAAAAGCATTCTCCATCATCACACTAAGCACCAAGACCCACCTAGTCTGTTTCTAGTAGAGATCAGACAGGAATTTTGGCAGAACACTCCCAGACTACAGCTTTTATCTTTAGTTTTAACCACTTCAATTAGAGGGAAACAAAGAGGTAAGATTGAGAACATAGGTGTCTGAATAGTGACTTCTTGTTTTTTGTGTAGAGAAATGTTAGAAAAGGGAACACTTAATTTCCTCATTTGGTAGGGACGAAAAAGGAAGATCAGTGTAAAATCGAAAGAAACACTGAAGGAACAAACTGCTAACAGTGAAACACAATCTTTCTGCCAGAGGGAACTGGCATCCAGGAAGAGGCAGAAGAGGGTAAGAACAGAGTGAATGCCAAGAGGCACAGAGCAGAGCCCATCCTGCAGAGCATATACATTATTGCTCTCCGCTTCTGTACCATGCAGGTTCAATCGCACTGCGAAACAGCTACTCTTACTAGTTCAGACACACTGCTAGTCTTGTTTTCACGTCTATGTGGAAGGAATAGAAGCCCATGGAATGGTTGGATTTACTCATTTCTGCATTCACAGCTTCTTGTTCTCCCCACGAATATTCTTGTTCCCAAGTTTTCCTCATGCAGCACTTCCCTCCTGAATAGTCTGAATCCATGTCTAAATCACACCTGAGCACGTGAATGACCCTGTTCAAACTGTCACCGTTTTCTAGTGCTGGCATTTACAGACAGACATGAATTAGCATTTGGCATCAGTCCAACGCTTTTGGGTAGCTCACACAGCTTTTCACAGATCTCCCATAAGCATACACAAGAAGCAGGGGGTGACTGCACTCAGAGACATGAGCATCATTATGTTCCAAACTCCGCCCCTTGCTATCCTTTTCACATCTTCCAACATCCCACCTCCTGTCAGCAAGGGTTGGCAGAACAGAGACACACACTGTCCAACTTCAGAGAGGTTCCTATTTTGACAATATTAGTAAGAATTGCTGGATAGAGAAACTGTTCAAGTTACACTGACCTGTGCCCTTTTATTTCTGCTACATCAGTCATCCCGCCAACACTGAAGCGGAAATACTCCCTGTTTAGGGCTCTGGCAATGGAGCGGGCAATGCTGGTTTTGCCAACCCCAGGGGGGCCATAAAAACACAGGATCTTCCCCTGGGTGGATCCTCGCAGCTGGCTGACTGCAATAAATTCCTGCAGAACAGATGAAGCAACCAGTAGTGAACATGGTCAACTGCAGCAACACCAAAATATCTTTGTTATCACGTCAGGCAACGATTACAAAATGAGCATCACACACAAAACTGGTCCTTAAAGGAGTTGGGGAGGGCAAGGGGAGAAACTAAGTAAGGATACCAGTGTACCTCTTTTCCCTCTGATTATTTACACACTTGGTTGTCCCTTGGTCTTGTGCTCTGTACTCATCTCACTGGGAGAAGCAGTCTCTCTCCTCACTGTCTTGGAGTGAGGAGAGACTTCTAGTTCTCTCAGCTTCCCTAGTTCTCACCTGAGTCTCTCAAGCTACGTATGAGCATCTCCTACTGTACTTACATATTTTCACACTCCTATGCTAGGCAACCCTCCATTAACACTCAGAAGCTGAGAAATCAAAAGATCACAGTTCAGAACTGAAGTCTGAACTGTTCATATGCTTACAGTGAGAAATCACTGTCCAAGTGGGCAGAGAGATGTCGTTCCTCTGTAAGAAGCCAGTTATTTAGCAAAGATGAGCCTTGATCTCCCACCTATAGCACTGAACTCCACAGCAACTCAAGGACAATAGCATCAATCTAATTAAGGCTCAAAACTGCATAGATACTTCTCAGTATCTTAAAATCATCAACCTCACTTGCATTGCTACAACTGGAGAATCTCCTCGACATGGAATTAATCACATCAATAACCAAAATCACAGACCTGTATGATGCAATTCAATCTATTTCTGTATAAAGGCTGGGCCTAGTCAGCATGCAAGTGTGCAACAACCACCTTACCATCAATTATCCAAAATAAAAGGTCAGATAGTGGGATTTAGTTACAAGTCTTGGGTGCTACTAGGGAAAGAAGCCCCCTTTGGCTGTCAGTGAGGAGATGCTTCACAATCTTTATCTAGAAGAGACTGCAACAAAGCAATTTAATAAAAGCAAGATCCCAGGATGTCTAAGAATTTACTATTCATTATATATAATGACATCATAGTTAGCTTAGGAGATGCCTATATGGTCCTGTGCACAATACTGACGTGGCCGTAGTACCATCAGTGCTGACCCCAAGGTAACACAAAGCATGTGGGAACAGTAAGAGAAACTGCCTTACTCCACTCTTTGGAAGAAAACTGCCAAGTTGAAGGCTAGCTACACTCACCACACCTGCTAAGCACTCACCAGGATTTGTTAATGCAAAGTCAGTATCTGCACCTGCCTTCCCTCCGCTGGGCACTTTCATGCACCTGCCCAGTACGATACAAATCCTGCCCGCACTGGGATTGTCCTTCACTGCTTGAATGCGTCGGCTGGCTACAAGGAGCCGCCTATTCCTGTCTCCTGGAAAGGAAGGCAGTTCCCTCAGCAAGCTGTTGAAGTTGCAACCTGTTGCAAGTATCTACTCTTACCTAAAACTGCTTCCCTAACGACAGCAAGCACAGATGGGGCATCCTCAGGCAAAAGCTGTGGGACAAGGCAACACTGAAAACTACCCTGTCTGCTTATGTGAGCGCTGTGTGGCACAGAGTATAAACCCTCCAGCATCCAACACAGCTCTGGGGATAGGCAAAGGCAGTGAGGCAAACAGGCACCTTGGCTAACTTCTCCCCTCTCAAATTTAGAGGTTCAGTGTGTTTTGGCTGGCAAAGCTGCTGCCTTTCCAAGTGGAACCATTTTAATAGTCTCTGAACAAACTGATTAAAATCCAGAGACTGCTTCCCTTGGACACTTAGCCATTTGCTCACCAGTAAGTAGCAAACCAGTGTATTGCGGTTAGAAAACAGAATATGACCTTCACTGCCATGAGTAATTAAACATATTAACTGATCACCAGGACATGCTTTCATTCATCTTTCTGTTTGATCCATGAATTAACACCAATTCAATGGAGAGCTGCAGTCTGAAACTCAAAATGCCCGCCTGATGCTAAGCAGAGTGTGAAATGGGACACACTGCCTATTCCTGCCTTACCAGAATTCGCTTCTTGACATCATCCATTCCATAGTGATCCTCCTCCAGAACTGCTTGGGCTCTGGTCAGCTCCAGGTTCTCCTCACTACACTTACCCCACGGGATGGACGTCAGCCAGTCCAAGTAGTTCCGTGTAACACTAACAAACAGAACAAATTATAACAAATAACATAATCCCCTTGTCCCTCCCTGCTCCCCCTCAAAAAAAAACCCAAAGCTTTTTTCCCCACAGCTTTTGCTTTCCTGAGACAAAGAACCCCCAACATAAAGACCTGGATTTCTGCACACAAAACTCCCTGTATGATTTTTAGGTGTGGGGCTGGTTCCTTTCTGAAGACAAGCAGGACTCCTTGTAAGCTCTGCACTACTGTCAACTCTTTGGGTCAGGTCACAAAACAAAAGATAGAAAACCACTTTTCTCTCTTTCCCCAGGGGACCAAGGCAATGTAAAGAAGAAAGATTCCTGGCTCAGAGGCAAGGAAAAACAGTTGGATGTACAACACAACAGAGAGATTTAAGACTGGGAGATAAGTATGCTAGTGGAGAAGCAACAGTAGAAATAATCAGTTTAAACAGACTGCTTCTGAGGAGAAGGTAAGTGCGTAAAAGCAGCACTTTGTACTGTTCTAAAAGTGCACACTCAGATCAGGGATTCAAATGCGCAGGGGGGTCTGCAAGATGCAGTAAATAGTAAATTGTGCGCATTCACGAAGAAAGAGAAGCACAGCCTTCCCCTGCTAGGCTGGGCTGGTCCAGGATTCACTTTACAGCAATCGTCACATCATCAGAACTTTGGCTTTTTTCTCTTAAGCACTTCTTTGGAAACTTGCTACCAGTCAGTATTCTTGAGGAAAAGCTACTAGGCCAGCTGTGAAGCCCTGTGTGTGTCTTTGCTAGCTTCCTTCCTCCGCCTCCCAATATATGATTATCAAGCTGTTTCTCATCCAAATGACACATGTCTGCCCTCAGACAGTCTTTTACTCTAGAAAAGGTACTTTGTTACACTGAAGTGCTGATGAGCACACTGTTTGCTTTACTGTATAGCACGCACCACCTCAACAGAGAGGGAATGTTCAAAGCAAGCTGAGTTTCTGACAATTCCTGTCACGGGTTATGTGGTAAAAGCTATTCACTCCCTTGCAATTCCAATCCTGCCCCAACACTCCAGGGACCACCTCAAGTAGCTTAGCCAACATCTTGTGTTCGCAACTAGCTTCTCCCACATCTAATGAAACACCCAAGTACAAGACAGAATAGCCAAAATTCAGAGCTGAAGGACACTGCACATTCGTGACGGGGAATGAACTGCACAGTTCTTATCCACAGCATTAGGCTGGAAGAGAAGAACTGAAATGATCAAGAGAGGTAAGCTACAGTAAAACACAGGAGAGTGGAGAACAATCCTATATAGCAGGGTGAGATCATATACTACATTCAGGGAAAACAACTCTGACAAAAAGAGAAAAGAAACTCTTAAAGTAAGAGCTTCCCAGAATTGTACTGATCACTGCCCTTCTCCCAACCAACCCTTGCAGCAAAGGACACTGCCATGCACTCACTTGAATTCTGAGGAGTGATTATCCAGCAAGCCCAACTTGTTCAGCTCTTCATCAATCACATCCATGACATGTTTTGGCACTACCAGCTCCTTTAGTCGCTCACGGAATTTCTCTTCTATAGCATCCTTGTCCTCTTTCTCCAGACCTAGCTCTTTCTTTATGATCTTCAATTGCTCCTGGAGAAGGTATTTGCGATGTGTTTGCTTGATCTTCTCCTCAACCTAGAAACAGCAACAGATACAGTAACTATTCTGCTCCTGGTACAACCCATCAAACACCAAATACTTCTCAGTTAGGATCTTCTCAGCAATGGAAAATACTACTCCTAAATCATTTGCAGCATGTTCCAATACAAAAAGTGACTCTATGACATACTCCAGCTCCCTCCACACGTCAGTGGCTTCCACTGGCCATGATTCAGTACTTCAATATCTTGTTTATGCTGGGGAGACCCAAAGCTGGGCAGAGAAAGCCAGATGTGGTCTCCCTAGCGCCAAATGGAGGAGAATAACCACTTCTCTCAACCTGTTGTCTACACAAGTGTAAACAGAGCCCAGTATGCAGTTGGTCTTTCTTGCCACAAGGCCAGACTGCTAATTCATGGTCAGCTTCCTGCACATCACGGTCTCAAAGTCCTTTTCTGCAAAGCTGTTTTCTATCGACACTGGAGGGAAGGGATGCCA